AACATTGGTTCGGCATGCTCATGAGGTTGTCAGTGGTCTCTCCTTGGTCTCTGCCCAACCACCCGGACCTGTGTCACAAGACCATGGCCAGCTCCTACACCCAACCTGGAGTCCCTCCACCTCCCACAGTGGATTCTGCGTGGCTGAACCCGGAGTGACAGACCTGTTTGGAAGGAGGCCAACAGGTCCTCCTGGAGAGTGGGAAGCTCTCAACCAGACTGACTTATCTGGCCAAGTGGATGAGGTTTTTCCACTGTGCATCCAAGCGCAGCTTTCTTCCATACAGGCTGTCCTGGACTACCTGCTCCATTTGAGGAACCAGGGCCTGGCACACTCTTCCATTAGAATGCATCTAGCGACCATCTCCGCTTTTCACCCGCCAATCCAAGGACAGACGGTGTTTTCCCATGATATGACAGTCAGATTCTTGAGAGGGCTTGAGAAACTCTTCCTTCAGGTACGGACTCCTGTCCCACAGTGGAATCCTAACTTGATCCTCTCTAGGCTCATTGACCCCCCCTTTGAGCCTCTGGGTTCCTGCTCCCTTTTCCACTTGTGGAAGGTCGCGTTCCTGGTGGCAGTGACATCGGCAAGACGGGTCTCTGAAATTAAAGCCTTGACCTCAGAACCTCTGTACACAGTCTTCTACAAAGATAAGATTCAGTTGTGACCCCACCCGCCTTTCCTGCCAAAGGTTTCCACTTTCCATATGAACCAGAACATCTTCCTCCCAGTGTTCTGTCCCAAACTGCACAAGACCAGTGAGGAGAGGCATCTTCATGCCCTGGACATCTGGAGGGCTTTGGCTTTCTACTGAGAACGTACTAAGCCTTTCTGAAAATCTACTCAACTCTTCATCACTGCAGCGGATAGGATGAAGGGGCCCCCGGTGTCCTCACAAAGGATTTCCAATTATGCACCAATTACCTGGTGCATAAGGACCTGTTACGACCTGGTGGGGGTTCTGCCACTGGCAATTGTCAGAGCCCACTCGACGAGAGCGCAGGCATGTTTGGCGGCCTTCCTGGTGCACATTCCTATCCATGACACCTGTAGATCCGCAACGTGGTCCTCTGTTCACACGTTTACCGCTCATTGTGCCATCACTCAGCAGGCCAGAGACGATGCTGGATTCAGCAGAGCTGTGTTGCAATCTACACGTCCGTGAACTCCTACCCACCTCCAGGGGTACTGCTTTTGGAGTCGCCTAATATGGAATGGCCATGAGCAAGCACTTGAAGAAGAAAAGACAATTACCTTTTCTGTAACTGATGTTCTTCGAGATGTGTTGCTCATGTCCATTCCACAACCCGCCCTCCTTTCCCACTGTCGGAATTTCTGGCAAGAAGGAACTGAAGGTGGAGGGAACCGGTGGTGCCACTCCAGAGCCAGAGCCAGTCCCCTATGGATACTACTGAGGGAAAACTTCCAGCACCGGTGCATGTGGCGAGCACACACACCTAATATGCAATGGACATGAGCAACTCATCTCAAAGAACACTAGGTATGGAAAAGGTAACTGTCTTTTTCTAGCTATGACAGAATACTATACATTTTTTTATTGTACAGAAAGGCCTAATTTTGGCTAAACAAGTCATTTGGATATCTGGCATTAAAAAAATGTACCAGATAACATGAATATGTTTATTTACACAGGCTACTGTTTGCATCTAAAACACATAAATTTATTTCCAAATATCAGAGACTCTAAAGACTAAATAAAAGTGATATATGAAATGGTACACTACACAAAATTCTGTTCTTATTCATACTGGTGCAACCTCATTGAAGTCAATGGATTTGCAGTGGTGTAATTGAGACCAAATTATGGTCCTTTTACACTTACACTATATTAGACTCCCTTAATCCTACCCACACCTACCTACTAGTATGTGAATTAGTGTAAGGGGATGTAAGTTTATGTAATGTGCACATGAGGAGCCAGAAAAAAAAGTGTACCTGTGTGTAAGTTAAAATACAACACATTCTTACTCATTCCTGTTAGTAGCCTTTCTTACTACAGTTCTCTCTCTGTCTCCTCAATGCAAGACATATACCAGTGTACGTTCCCTTATACTCAAGCATGGGGAGCCAAAGCTGGGGCAATAAATAAGATACAGGGGGCGTCTAATTATATTTTGATAAATAAAAGGGAGTTTAAATGGGTCTGGAAGAAGTCTACATGTGTATAGCATGCACTGTCTGGGGGCCACAGGAGAAGGTTTAAATTTGAAATGGGCCATCTTGATTATCACTACAAAAGTTTTTTTTCTCCTGCTGATAATAGCCCACCTTAATCAATTAGTCTCATTAGAGTTGGTATGGCAACCCCCATTTTTTCATGTTCTATCTATCTATCTATCTATCTATCTACTCTTCCTACTGTATTTTCCACTGCATGCATCTGATGAAGTGGGCGTTAGCCCACGAAAGCTTATGCTCAAATAAATTTGTTAGTCTCTAAGGTGCCACAAGTACTCCTCATTCTTTTTATTAAATTCTATGTTAGCTACAGATCCCTCTAAACTTTCTTAGACCCAATTCTGAATTTGAAAATTTGGCCATGCATTGCTGTGTGCATGAATTAGTTTGTCTCAAGTAGTAATTAATTAATCTGTGATCCACTTTTCTGATAACAAAGTAGTGAAAACTAAATTTGAGATAGTTTAGGCATTGTTTCCTTTCTTGTGGGTACTAATTATAGGATTTAAAATGTATAACACTTTTCTGTCCATAGAGCCATTTTACACACCAGGAATTGGAGATTATCTCACAGGGGTAATATATATTCATATTTAGCAATGGAATTTCATTCATTTTGATAGTCAACTAATCAGTTATAGAGCCTCCCCCCCCCCTGGACTTGAGGAGAGGGGGCTCTGTGACTGATTAGTTGGACAGACAGATGAAACCTAAGTCTAATGCAGGGGTGGGCAAACCTTTTGGCCCGAGGGCCACATCTGGGTATGGAAATTGTATGGTGGGCCATGAATGCTCACGAAATTTGGGTTGGGGTGCAGGAGGGGGTGAGGGCTCTGGGATGGGACTGCAGGCTCTGGGGTGGGGCCAGAAATTAGGAGTTCAGGGTGTGGGGGGGTCTCTGGGCGGGGGCAGGGGGTTGAGATTCAAGAGAGGGATCAGGGCAGGGGCTTGGGGCATGGGAGGGGGTCAGGGGTGCAGGCTTTGGGTGATGCTTACCTCAAGCAGCTCCTGGAAGCAGTGGCATGTCCCCCCTCTGGCTCCTATGTGGAGGTGCGGTCAGGTGGCTCTGTGCAATGCCCCATCCTCAGGTGCCTCTCTGAAGCTCCCATTCACTGCAGTTACTGGCCAATGGGAGCTGCGGGGCTGGTGCTTGGGGCGAGGGCAGCGCACAGAGTCCCCTGGCTGCCCCAAAACGTAGGAACCAGAGTGGGGACATGCTGTTGCTTCTGGGAGCCTCGGCACGCATGCAGGAAGCGGCCTCCGAACCTGCTCCCTGCCTGGAGCACAGGAACAGGGCAAGCCCTAGACCCTGCTCCCCAGCAGGAGGTCGAAGGCCGGTTTAAACTGGCTGGAGGGCCGGATGTGGCCCATGGGCTGTAGTTTGCCCACCCCGGGTCTAATGGCTCCTGTGGATACAACAGGAGAGTTTATAAATTCTGCACCAGAAAGAAAGGCTCCCTTCCCTTCTTGAGATTAGAGTAGTACACAGTTTGGGGGCCTTGTTGTTGGCATCATGCCAGTTTCCTTTTGGGGGATGGGAGGAAATATTTGTCCTCACTGCCCGTTTAGCCAGGGTGGTGTGGGTTTTTTCACCTCCCCGGGACCTAGAGGGTAGGTTAGGCTGTAAAATTCATTTTGTTGTAACTTGGCAGGTGCTCAGTGCAGGAAATCATTCAGTAGGAGGTATAGTTTCCTCATAAACTGGAAGTGGATTAGTAGAAAGCACCTCCTAAAGAAGGAATGGGGTTAGGGCCTCTAATCTCTGAAGACAATCCCCTCTTTCTGACCTACCCCCCAATTAACCTTTCTACAAGTGGAGGGTGATGGAGATCAACAATGGTGCTGGGAACAAGTTGACAAGATGGAGGGCTGATGGCAGCTGTCCACCAGGTGGTACAGATTACAAAGGAAGGATGATTTGCACTGGATGAATTATTGAGATATGTTACTTAATAAAGGCTAGTTAAACCACATTCCTGGTGTCTTGTCTGTCTTCCTGTGGGGCCTGGGACAAAAACTTTCAGGCCTTTATTATGCTTCATAAAGAAACAAGCAAAAAAGAAAAGGAAAACAAAAAAGGGGACAGGGAGAGAAAATTTCCCATTCCCACCCTTCTTTTGCAGGTCACTTTTAGCAGATCAAGCTAACTGATATTACATGAAAATATCTGTTCACATATATAACTACATTTTCCAGTTTAGAACTTTTGTTTTATTGTTACATTTCATTTTGTCTTATGGGAAAAATCATAATGACTGTATTATAGTGTCTCTTCAAAAAGGGGTTTCATATTATTGCAGAATATATTCTAATAGAAAATTAAAATGCTAAATGGTATGTTGTATCTATAAACAAATCCCCTTAACGCAAGTACTTTCCAAGAAATACTGTGTTATGAGCCATTATTTTGGTTGTCTGATCTTTATTGATATTGTATAATGCCAGGCAAATTCGAATAATAACTTCTTATTGTGCAAGGGGGAGAACGTTCATACAACTACCAATACGTATGTTAACAATAAGGCAAAGGCAATTGTTCTTTAATATCTCAAAGGCACTTTATCAGTTTGTTCAGGTTCAACATGTGGCTCTAGCTCTTAAATGCAATAATTCAATGAGAATATCCTTTATAAAAATATCTTTCTTTAAAACCAAAAAAGAAAACAAAAATGAAAAATGCCACCAATTTCAGTATGATCCAGCTGAAATACATTGTATAAAAATCTTGACAATGTCCCTTTAAAAGAGGCTATTGCACACATGAGACATTCATGTTGTTCCAATATTGTTGTTTACAGACTGAAGAATTTACCATTCACTTTTACTAAGCTTAAAGAACTTGCAGCTTTGTGGCTATCTGACAACCAGGTAATAACTTTTAATGTATGTCTTTTCATTAGTAATAAAAAGCAAGATATCTTGGTAAGGGCCATAGATAAAATCTATGTTTTAACAGACTATTGTTCGATTTATGAAGCTTTTAGTCCCAACAGTTTCCATACCGTCCTCTGTATTAGCTACAGATCTAGATATAGGTTCTGCTGAATGCTGTGGTATTAATTGGAAAAGCTCACCTTTGAGGGATTTACTGCTTTCAACAGGTGGAATTGTATGTCCTGACCCAAATTAATAAGTTAAGGCCAAGAGTATTCACAGACGACTCTAGTGAATGGGATCACTCGTGGCCTGTGTTGGGACACAAGGGCCTAAGGATTTTATACTGGGCATATTCTGTCTTTTGTATTCCTTAATCCTTCTGTGCCTCCATTCTTGTCGTCTGGCTTCCCATTCCCTATCTATTCCTCTGTTTTTGTTTACTCCTCTCCCCATTTTAACCTCTTCATGTGGAAGAGGGATTTCTTCCATTAACTTTTACACTTGAGGCTCTCATTTGGTGTTTTGCTATCTTTCTATGCTTTTAAATTATCAATGACAACTATTTAATTCTTTGCTAATAGAAAGTAAACATGGTAATTAGAGCTAGAGTAAGTGTCTAAGTCCCATTGTCAAAATTGACTTAGGTATTTAGTAGCCTAACTCCCATTGATTTTTATCTCCTTAGTGTTGAGGGACTTTAGGCACTTCTGAACGTTTTAATCCTTGTCTAAAATCGGGAGTGTGGGGGTCACAAAAGTTCATGAAGCATTTTTTTTCCCTTGGTTTTCTTCTAAATAAAGGTTTCATTACAAAAGTTTCCAACCAGAGCCAATAATATTTTAAGTGTTCTAGGCTTAATCCTCAGCTGATGGATATCAGCATAGCTCTGTGGAAGTCAACAGAGTTATACAGATTTACATCATCTGAAATTCTGGTCCTCTGTGCATTTTCCATTTTTCTTCTTTTTAAAAAAGCCCCAAAATTACAACTTCTCAATTTTTTTACTTTTGCCACAGCTAAGCCATGACAAGCAACCAACCTTAAGCCCAGATCCTACAAATATTTATGCACTATTTGTACATTTAAAATTAAGAACATTCATAAGTTTTTGCAGGATCAGGGTCTTATTATTCGTCTATAGCGTGAAAATCTGTAACTAACATGAGACTACTGATCCCAGAGTTCCAGAAAAAATATGTTGGTCAAGTCCTAAATGCCAAATCTTGTAGTCTTCACTTGATCCTTATATTCCTGCGCTCTTTGAATAGCCTAAACTTCCATTAAAGTCAATGGGAGTTTGGGGCATATAAAGAATGCACAAAGAGGGTCCTTGGTCCTTCTTTAGAGAAAACTTTCATCAACTTCTGTTGGAGTTTCTTGAGTGCTCCTAGATTTGGTCCAACGTTAAAATGTTAACAGGCATCTTTATATGTTAATACTGTCTGTATTTTTGGGGATTTATTGTTAAACTAATTATGCAGCCAGCATTAGTGCTCAGAAATTTAACAATTCAACCAATTTACAATTTGTAGATTAAGTCGTTTCAACCACTACGAATGTTCGTAGAAAAAGAAATTCACAATTTTAGGCATTTAAACTGTTATTATAAAGGGAAGAGAACTTAATTTTCACAAAAAGTAAATATTCAACGTAGCTAAAAGTGATACTTCCATTATTGCAATAACTTCAATAACCTCTTCTTTTTCTCCCTAGAATTGTATAGTTATTGCAGATAACTGTTGCCTCTTGAGTTCAGGTCTGATCAGTATAATTTTGCATGGTCCAAACTTCTTTTCACTGTAAACTAATCTATTCTATTTGTGTGCAAAAGCCACTGAGACCATGATCCTGCAACTGTCTGTCTACACTGCAGTGTAAGCCCATGCTTGAGCCCAGGCTGAAGCTTAATCCCCTTGTATCGACACTGCAATTGAGCTAACACAGGGCTCAGACCTAGGGTCTCAGGACCCTGCAGGACTGGATGATCTGAGCTCAAGTTAAGCCAGGACCCAGGGTCTGAGCTCTATTGCTTAATTGCAGTGTAAACACAGTCCCGCTTGACTCAGGTTCCAAGAGTCAGCTGGAAGTATCCCAAAATTCCACAGGATAACTTTCTTAGTCCTCTCTATCCCAACGATCTACAGTCCACTCTATTGAAAATGGAAGCCTCCCCCACTCTGCCAACGGCAACAGCTCAGGTCAGCATTAACCCATTCTCTTCTGATCACCAATCTGCAAACACACTATCAGAGAGCCTCCTGGGTTTACAATGGAGAGTGAATCAGTCAAGCCTGTTGCAAAGCTAGCTGCTTCAAACTTTCTGTAACACACAGGGCAGGTAGTAACATTTTCTCACAGTGCACCATGGTCCTAGGGCTAGAGCAGCCACATTTTTTGGGGGGCGGGGATACTAGGGACTCTAGGATATGGTTACTTGAAGCCGAGTCTGTGCACTGCAGTGTGGATGCCAGGGTCCTAGGTTCGAGCATGGGTTAGAAAAGTCTCAATGTAGGGTTAAAATACAATGTAGACACTCAAGCCCAGGGTTCCCTAATGTGGATCAGCTGACTCAAGTCACGCTAACCCTGGGCTTACATTGCAGTGTAGACATACCCTATGTGGGAGAACTCCTGTACCAATACTGAGTACTGTTGACTTCAGTGAGGTTTAGCACAGACACGGAGGTCTGTTTGTGCTGAGTCAGTTGCAGGATTGGGGCCTAAGATGTTCCTCTCCCAACAAACATAGAGTATATATATTGCTGACTCACGTTTAATAAGTAATAGTTCAGCAAGACACTTTGCTCACCATAAGAACAAATTTAATCAAATAAGGAGATTTATTGTTTATACCAAGTAATTTTACTCATTCTTAACGTTATTTTTACTCATATAGCTAATTTTCAGAATTTTAAATGACATCTATATATAGCTGAATATAAAAAGCAAGCAAGGAAACAAACAAACTGATGGGAGGAGGGTGGGAAACAATGAGTGGACATCAATGCAGTAAACTAGAGCCTTCTCTCTCTTCTCCTTCCTATTCCTACCTGTCAGAAACTGATCAGTAGAATGTTACCCCTTACAAACATAGAAATGTCACCCCAAAATAAAATGAAAAGTTAATGTGGACAATTGAGTACCTGTTTAAGAGCCCATCTAGCTTGTACACCAACTGAGAGCCTATATTCTTTTAAGGACACATTATTTTCTTCAACTTATTGGACTTCTCTACAAGAGATCATAGATTAATTTGCATTAATTTAATTAAAATATACCAGTATCATCATAATACTTATTGAATACTTAGAACACAATCTCTAGTCACTTGCACCAGTTTTATACCACTGTAACTCTACTGCCTTCAGTGGAATTACTCCTGATTTACCCAACCGTGAATAAGATTAGAATCAGACACTCGGTGCTTACACTGTTCCCCTTCCCACCCTCCTCTGCTTCTCATTTCACTCAGTCACTACAGTGTGTCAGACTCTGTTTTCCTTACACTGGAAATATTCCTATTGAAGTCAGGAGGAATGTTATACATGTAATAAGAGTGAGGAATCGAAGAAAAAAATTCCCCATCAGAATAATATGTTTTTTCAGTCTGCAACTGCAAGAACAATTTCATTTAGACCAAGGACCCAATTCTTACTTTCTTTTTTATATTTTCTATTTATCAGATCATAAAATCTGATTTTCTTGGAATTCTTATAAATAATCTTTCTTCTTTTCTTTATAGTCCAAGGCCCTTATCCCTCTGCAAACTGAGGCTCATCCAGAAACAAAGCAAAGAGTACTGACTAACTACATGTTTCCCCAGCAACCCCGTGGAGATGAAGGTAAAATACTGTCAGCAATTTATTACAAAAGCAAAAACATGTTTATAATGCTTATTTAAATCCTGGTGAGAAAGTGGGGAGTATATTTTTAAATATTGAAACCATGGTTCTGTGGATGAGAATGGCTACAGTTGTTTATATAACAAACAGTATATACAAGGCAGTATATATTCAGTCATACTGAAAGATTCTAAACAGGCTCTTTTTGTATGTTAAATCTAAATCCTTTTCTGGATTCTGGATTGAGATTGAGATTTGTTCTCCCTTTTCTTTTTTTGGGGTGGGGAGTATCAGCATTATACCTTCCGACACACTGTGTAAACCCCCTGAATTCACTTCATTAGGGTTGCCTGGGGCCAATGAAAGGCAGAATTTTGTCTGATACTTACATTAGACAGGAGGATGGCCAGTGCTCTTTCATACATCTGGTAGCAGGAGGCACTCATCTAGTGAGTTTCCACCACTTTCCCATCCTTCCTATTCTGACCTAAACTACAGTAAGATGGGATACATCTTAACCTTCTGCTCAAGCAATCCTGTGACCTCACTAGGAGTCTTGAAATCCCATAATTGACAATATTTAGTTCAAACACAACCAGTTTGCACCGCCCCTTTCAACTTAACCTTATTACATTAAAAATTATGCCACTTGTTTATAGGTTGTGACAAATTTTTATCACTTTTCACACCCTTTGGATGATTTAAGTGTGAAACCCAAGGTGCAGGCCTCAGCACAACAAACATTTTTGTCGTTTAGCGTTTAAACTACGTTTCATTTGTTTTGCTTGGTGCACTAATTACACATTCTGTTACAAAGCAGTTTTACGAAGATATTACCTGAATTTTAACTGTAGATTTCCAGTCAGACAGCGATAGCTTTAACCCTACTTTATGGGAGGAGCAGCGACAGCAACGGATGACGGTAGCCTTTGAATTTGAAGAGAAAAAGGAAGCGGAGGAAAATGCAGGAAAAGTTAAGGTAACTAGTTAGCCTTCACTTTTTCTTGCTTTATATATTGTGGACAAGTTCTCATACACAAATGCCATGGTAACATGTTTTTAGTTTTTAAACTTGCAGAGAGTGTTTGAGACCAAATATTATCACTCATGAAAAATGAGGGGACTGTTTTCCCTGCAGTATGCACTAATAATTTCCATTCATGCCCTGGTTACCTGACTGTCAAATTCTGAGTTTCTTCTTTAATTTGCTCATGTCCATTCTATGCTAGTTGTGTGCATGCCGTGTGCACTGTTGCTGGAGATTTTTCCCTTAGTGGTTTCCATAGGGCCATCTCTAGCACCTTCTGGAGTCATGTGACAATGCGCCGATACAAGGGGCACCGCCAGCCGCACACACTCTCGGTTCCTTCTTACCACCTATGATGGTTACTGAAATGATGCTTCTTGCTGTGGCAAGGTCTCTTTCCAGTTGTTTGAACTTTCTCAGTTTATTCTTAATGTAGTTACCGTAGTTAGTGTATATAGTTTTTAGAGTTAACATATATAGTCGTGTAAATAGTTGTCCCTGTCATTGAGGGACTTTTCACCCCAGGGACTGGGCATGCCTCAGGCTTCAAGACGTGTTCCTCTTGCGACAAGCCGATGCCAGTGTCTAAAGCATCTGGAGGAATCTTATGATAAAGATAAGTGCCAGATCTGCAGGGACTTCAAACCTCACACTAGAAAAGACAGGGACATTTGACTGAAGGCCATTCTCCTGGAGGTGGCCCTCAGACAATTTTCGGAACCAAGCCATTCTAAATCGGTGCCAAGCACTTCGACATTCGTTCAAAGTGCTCCACTGGCACTGTGCTCTTCCTGGCACTGTTCTCCATCTCTGATGCTGAGGAAGAAGCATAACAAACACTGAGAGAGGGTGCTCTCTTGTGCAGAAGAGGGATAAGTGGGGAATGGACTAGAGCGCTGAGTCCAGCTTGGGACCTACCGCCGACTACTGGAAGCAGCTGCTGTGCTAGGCTTCCTTCGACACCGGAGGCGTTCCAGGCAGCAAAGGACCTGCTGTCTCTCCTGATTCTGCCAACCCTGCAGGGACCACCAGCAGCCAAGGCGTCCAGGAACAGGGGGAGCAGGAAGCACAGAGCTCCTTCCCAGGACTGACCACCTTGGCTCCCTCTAGGAGCAAGCCTTCCATGATCCTGGCACAAGGGTCACTGATCTGCCACTGATCCCCAGACTGCTGGGACCGCCTGGTGGCAGAAGCGGGTTCTGCTTCACTATGGTCACCACAGGAAGAATCTTCTTCGTAGTCCAAAGGGAAATCCTTTGCCCCACCAAAATCTTCCACCAGTACCCACCAGACTTTTGGTACTGGTCCTCTGGCTGGCAGATGGCAAGCAAGCCAAGGGCCAATGCAGTGGCCATATTGGAACCCCGGGAGTATTCGCTGGTACCGGCACCCCCTTCTCACCACTCACACTCAGTGACTTCAGAGAGATGCACTACCAGCCCTAGCTGCTTGGCACCAGACCCTGATTTTGGTACTGATCCCAATGGACGTAGTGGAGGCAGAGGAGGAGGAGGAAGCTCCCCCTTCTTCATCATTCGCAGCTGAAGCTGTGGCAGGACACAGTAAGTTACTCTCTCGGAACAATATCAGGGCCCACCAAGACCTCCTTAAAAGAGTCACTGTGAACCCGGGTCTGGAGACTGAGGAGCTTAAGGAGTCAGCACACAGCCTGATCAACATCCTGGTGTCAACTGCCCCCTTCAAAGTGGTATTGCCCATCAATGAAATGGTGATGAGGCCAGTCAAAACGCTGTGGCAAACCCGATCTTCTCTGCCCCGCATCTCAAAGAGGGCAGAGAAGAAATAATATGTACCTGGGGGTCCCTGATAGTGTCAGCAGGAAATGAACGGGAGAGGCAGGGTTATTTGAGTGCCAGCCCTAAGAATAAAGATGCCAAAAGACTAGACCTTTTTGAGCAGAAAGTTTATTCAACAGGCAGCCTCCAGTTACATATTTCCAAAGCAGGCTTTGCTAGGGAGGTATGATTTTAATCTATAGGACTCATTGTCCAAATTTAGGGACTCCCTCCTGCAGGAGTCGAGACAGGAGTTCATAGCAGTCTTGGAGGAGATCAAGATTGTGGCGAGGATCTCCCTCCAGGTGGCTCTGGATGCAGCAGACTCAGCTGCAAGGACTATGGTGTCTGCAATCACCATGAGGCATTGTTCATGGTTCCAGTCCTTGGACCTCCCTCACAAGGTTCAACAGGATTTACTCTTTGAAGACTCCTCCCTGTTTTTGGAGCAGAGACTCAAAGTTTCACTGCCTAAAGGACACGAGGGCTGCCCTGCCGACCTTAGGACTTGATACGCTGTCAGTATCCCGAAAGCACTTTAAACCCCAGCAGCCTTCCAAATTTGTGGCACCTCCCCACAAAAGAAAAGGGAAAGGTTACAAGCATTGCCAACCCCTCCCGTCCACTTCCGTCTCCCAGTTGAGCTCTCATAGGTATCCCGGTAGGGCCAACTAGGCCTTTTGAAGGTGTGCCCAATGGCATTATACCAGTCTCAGCTCTGGATCCAGCCCCTCTTTTGTTTTTGGACCATCTTGTCACCCTTCAGCACAGCGTGGTCATGTATAACATTGGACCACTGGGTCCTCAGTACTGTAACAGTTGGTTACATCCTCCAGTTTGTGTCCACCCCTCCGTCCCAACCCAGTCCCTCCTCAGGGACTCTTCTCATGAGCAACTAGTTGCCCAGGAGGTGCAATCCCTCCTATGTGTGGGGGCCATAAAGGAAGGTCCCCGAGACTTGAGAAGGAAGGGATTTTACTCCCAGTGTTTCCTAATACCAAAGGGGGTCTACAGCCTATCATGGGCCTGCATCATCTCAACAGATATCTAAGTTAACTAAGGTTCTGTATGGTCTCCTTGGTCTCCCATCATTTCCTCCCTGGATCCAGGAAACTGGTACGCTGCCCTCAACTTAAAGGACGTTTATTTTCACATGTCTATCTTCCATGGCCACAGAATTTTTCAGGTTTGTAGTGGGTCAATGCTGCTACCAATTCACCAGTCTTCCATTTGACCTATCGGCAGCCCCATGGGTCTTCACAAAGTGTATGGCAGTAGTAGTATATCAGTCTTCCTCAAGCTCCAAGGAGATCAAAGGTTGGTCACAGACTCAGGTACAGCACAGCATCAGTACAGTCTGGGCCACATTCCAGGCACTGGGCCTGCTGATAAACAAGGAAAAGTCAGCTCTGGTCCTGGTTCAGAGGATAGAGTTCATCGGGGAAGTGCTTGACTCATCCCAAGCCTGCTGGTACAGTATGGGTGGTTCAGCCCTCTCTAGATGTGGCTGGCATCAGTCTACTCCCTAAGTAGGCACCATTTAGATTCAGTGCTCACAGTCCCACTTCCAGTCCTATCTTCCATGACCTGGTGGAAAGACCAAGGATCAGTAATGAAGAGGGTACCCTTTACTGCCCCTTAACTCTCAGTCACTTTAGTCTTGGACACATCAGACATAGGGTGTGGAGCCCACCTCTGCAACCTCAGGACCCAGGGCTCTAGTCCCAAGAAGAACTCTTCCTACATATAAACGTCAGGTAACTCAGGGCGGTACGCTTAGCTTGCCAAGTGTTACTTCCCCACATCTCAGACCAAGTGGTGCAGATCTTGACAGACAACACCGCATCCATGTTTTATACCAACAAGCAGGGAGCGGCTTGATCTTCAGCCTCGTGCTGTCTTCTGGATGTCGGACTTCTGCTTGAAACATACCATTCAGCTTGAGGCGATGCATCTCCCGGAGCCTGAAACATACCAGCAGATCACCTCAGTGGAGTCTTTTCCTCTCACTGCAGGTAGTCTCTTCACCCGGAGGTCGGCAGTGTCATCTTCCAGAGATGGAGGCCTTCCCAGGTTGACCTCTTCACCACCAAGCAGAACAGGAAATGCCATTAGTTCTGTTTGCTGCACAGCTCCTGCTCCAATGCCTTCCTGCTCTAGTGAGCAGACCATCTACTGTACACCTTTCCTCCAATCACCTGGGTTCACAAGGTTCTCCTAAAAATCAAATCGGGCAAGGTGAGGGTTATCCTGATAGCACACCACCATTGGCTTGGCATATTTCTGGGCCTCTCGGTGGCAGCCCCACTCACGCTCCCACTCTGCCCAGACTTGATCTCAGAAGACCACGTCAGGTTGCTTCACCCAAACCTTGCCTCCCTGTTCTTGGTGGCATGGATGCTGCGTGGCTGAACTCCAAGGAACTGGCCTGCTCAGATCAAGTTCGACAGGTCTTGCTAAGCGATAGAAAGCTTCCACCAAGGCTACCTACTTAGCCTAGTGGAAATGTTTCTGTTGTTGGGCCTTGGAATGGAATCTCTCTCCCTTCTGATCTTCCCTGCAGCCTGTCTGGCTCACCTAAAGCAGCAAGGTCTGGCTCTTGCATCTATTAAGGTTCATTTGACAGCCATTTCAGCCTTCCACCGTCCAGTGAACGGTATTTTCTCACGAGTTGATGGTCCAGTTTCTCAAGGGGCTGGAAAGACTCTATCCTCAAGTTTGCGAGCCCCCCCTTAGGACTTAAACCTTGTCCTGTCAAGGCTCACCGGGGCCCCCTTTGAGTTGTTAGCATTGTGCTCCCTACTGCTTCTCTCCTGGAAGGTCACCTTCCTGATGGCTATCACCTTGGCCAAAAGGATTTCTGAGATCAAAGCCCTTACGTTGGCACCTCCTTACATGGTGTCCTTCAAGGACAAGGTATAACTGCGTCCCTCTCCAGCCTTTCTACCAAAGGTGATGTCACAATTCCACAATAACCAGGTCATTTTTCTACCTGTCTTTTTCCCAAAACCTCATGAGTCTGCTGAGGAATGTTGGCTTCATGTGTTGGACTTTAGGCGGGCCCTCGCCTTTCATATTGAAAGGACTAAGCCAATAAGGGAAAAATCTCTGGCAACAGTGCATGCGGCCCACGCTCACCTAGCATGGAATGGGAAT